TGTTTGGACTGGGCTAATGTGCAGTTGGTTTTTCCTTGAAGAGGGTCCCTTTTAGTTTCTTCCCTCTTTTTTCTTTTCTTTTCATTCGTCTATCTCATCTCTAACTTAAATAATCTAGGCATTAATCATATGCATTGGATACCAGAACTCAGCTTTGGCCAGGGCTACTTTGAATTATGGAGTATTCCCCCAACAAAGTCACATTTTTGTTTTCAAACTGCTATGAATATGATTAAGTCCTCTTGATCCAGCCTTACACATAGACAAAATGGCCTCAGTATAGTATAAAAGTTAATGGCCGGCGCCGCAGCTCAGTAGGCTAATCCTCCGCCTTGCGGCACCGGCACACCGGGTTCTAGTCCCGGTCGGGGCACCGGATTCTGTCCCGGTTGCCCCTCTTCCAGGCCAGCTCTCTGCTGTGGCCAGGGAGTGCAGTGGAGGATGGCCCAAGTGCTTGGGCCCTGCACCCACATGGGAGACCAGGAGAAGCACCTGGCTCCTGCCTTCGGATAGGCGCGGTGCGCCCGCTGCAGTGCGTCGGCGGTGGCGGCCATTGGAGGGTGAACCAATGGCAAAGGAAGACCTTTCTCTCTGTCTGTCTGTCTGTCTCTCTCTCTCTCTCTCTCTCACTGTCCACTATGCCTGTCAAAAACAAAACAAAACAAAGTTAAGTGCACAGGGTTAGTAAGCATTTGACATAGAGGTTAAGACTCCACTTGGCTTGCCTGCATACCATATGGAGTGTATGAGTTCAAGTGGGGATATTCTCCTGATTCTAGATTCCCACTGATGTACACCATGGGAGGCAGCAGAAGGTGGTTTAAGTACTTGGGACCATTCCACCCACATTGGAGACCTGGATTGAGTTTCTGGCTTCTGGCTTCCATCCGTCCCAGCCTCAACTGTTGGAGAAATTTGGGGAGTAACCCATGATTGTGTGTGTGTGTCTTTACTTTTCAAATAAATGAAAATAAATAATTAAAATTTTAAATTTTTGACAGTGTTGTCTTTGCTTTGCTGCAGTCACAGACAGCCCCATACATGAAGTACTTAAAATAGCAGTGATTCCTTCTTTATTCATCTCAAATTCTGAAGTGGACCACAAGGTCTTTATCTTGTCACTGCACTATCTGGAACAAATGACCCCCAAAGTTGCCACAGAAGGAGAAGAGGGCCGGCGCCGTGGCTCACTTGGCTAATCCTCTGCCTGCGGCACTGTCCCAGTTCTGTGCCGGTTGCTCCTCTTCCAGTCCAGCTCTCTGCTGTGGCCTGGGAGTGCAGTGGAGGATGGCCCAAGTGCTTGGGTCCCTGCACCCGCATGGGAGAACAGGAGGAAGCACCTGGCTCCCGGCTTTGGATCGTTGCAGCGCACCGGCCGTAGCGGCCATTGGAGGGTGAACCAACGGAAAAGGAAGACCTTTCTCTCTCTCTCTCTCACTGTCTAACTCTGCCTGTCAAAAAAAAAAAAAAAAAAAAAAAGGAGAAGAGAGAGATGGAGAATACAGTTTGACTCCATTCTTTACCACATAATTCTGGACATGACACTCTGCTCTTAGATCATTGCTGTGTGGCTAGATCCTTGCTCTGCTACTTAAAGCCAACTTGATCTTGGCTCTGTTCCCCTATCTGTGGGAATTTGCAGAGGCAATGGTCATGATTTACATCTATATCTCAGAGTTATTATGAGAATTTAAAAATATTATTTATATAAAGTGCTTAGAAAAGTATCTAACACGTGGCAAGCAACAATAGGTGTTTTTCTACACAGTCTTTGATATATATATATCAGTCTCAGCATATAATTATTATTTATTTAATGATCAATCATAAAGAAGAAACAATGAGGGAAATGGAGACTGAATTTAAAAAAGCATTGCTTGCCCTTACTAAAAGCAATTATGTAATTGTCTTGCAATCCTTGGAATATACTGTTATACGAGAGTACTTAAAAACGTTCATGGGAAATACGTATTTTGAAAAAACTATGCATGGATTTCATCATTTTTGAAGCATTGTTCCAGGAAAGTTTTGAAGTCCCCTTGTATACAGGGAAGAGCTACTGCACACTTTCTGAGAGAGTGTCACACATCTGTAAGAAATGATTGATCGTCCTGGTTGCTTTGGGGGTGAATGAGACATTTGCATTTCTTTGTGCATTTCTCTAAGGAAATAGTTCTTAGTTTTTACTGATTCCTTTAAAAGATCTGTTACTCAAAAATGTGTAAGATCTCTGTTCCCATCACCTTGTAAGTGCAACCCTTGCGATGGCAAAGACAGAATTCAGGGAGTGAGGAGCTCATGATGCAATAGACCTAGTATTCATCTTTGTATGTAAATGTTCCGTGACTTATTTTTCAGAGAAGAACAATGGAAGAAGGGAGGGCAAGATTTTGAGCAGTTTGAGCAGAAATCTCTGGCACTTGTGACTCCCTTCCATACTCGCAATTTCTCCTGGCTCCATCTTCTCTCAATCAAGCAGGAAATTGAAAAAGAAGAGCTGTTCTGGAAGGTGAGCTCCAAACCTTGACAACCTTTTGGGGACTTGCAAGTAAATCACTAAATCTGCTTAGCAACTTTCTTGGTTCTGTGGGAAGAGGCAGGCACAGCCATGGCAGGAACTGAAGAATAAATAGTATTCAGTTTCTGCCTTCCTTCCCGGAGTTGGTTGGCATGGGAAGGGTAAGACTCAGTATGAGTCATTTTCTAAAATCACACTACGCCCTGCTGCTTCTCACATCTCTGTGGATCATTAATGTGTTTCCAAGCCGATGGTTTTGTGCAAAGCATTTATTTACCCTTATTATTAAGATGTGTGTGGGGCACTGGAAGTATAAGCTTTGAGGCCTATAAAGCACATGATAGAAAGAGGCATGCATATGGAAGGAGAATTCTGTCCGTGGACCATGTACAAGCAAGCTCACCATAGCAAAGGGTGATGACACAACAAGAAAATATAATTGAAGAACACACTCCGAAATATGTTACATAAAATAATTTACTTCTCATTCAGAATGACTTCCAGACTTATTTGTGAGACAATAGTCTGTGAGTACAGGTACCATATCAAAGTCATGACAATTGTGATAGGGCAAGACCAGCAGAGTTATACATTTGGATCCAGAAGTTACCCGAAACAGAATTGTGAAACTGTGTGTAACAAAAAGGGTCACTGATGAGGAACTTTGGGAACATTAGGAGTAAGACTGCCAGAGGGGCAAGAAAGGTACAATTAGGAAATGTTCATTTGAATGCAATGAGATCTGTGTGCACAGACTCTGGTGTCTTCATTTTGCAGCCCAGTACATTGGTGTAGAAGCCACAAAGGTGCTCATGCATGTAACTGATACCGGAACAACAGAAACAATGTATGTGCATGAGTGTGTACACCCTCTCAAAGACAGTAGTTTTAGAAGAATGAGAAGAAAATTACTTCCTGGGCATTCGTTAATAATTCAGGTAAAATCTTGCACTCCATTTATAAAACAATACAATAATAAAAATTTGTACAAAACAACATCATAAATAACATAAATGAGAAATTTTCAAGTATTTCACATGCCTTGAAAAGTTCCAAACAGTAGTTCTAACAATTGGTTTTCTCTCTCTCTCTTTCTGTTTGTCTTTCTTTTTTCCCTTTTTTTCATTCTCATTTAGTCTCAGAGCCTAGAAAGAAATGTCTGCAGTCTCTGTTAGTCTTGATGTTTGGGATGTAATGAGCAAGATTTTTGTCTTACAATGGCTTTTCAATTTGTGAAACTGTGCCCCATTTATAGAATAAAATCTTTTGCCTGCTACTGGCTTATACTCGTAAATTTAGAGCTAGAACTGTTATGGAGAAAAATCCAGCTAACCAAAACAAGCCAAACAGACATCTGATGGCCAAGTTCCTCAGGACAAAAATGAGAAGAGCACCTTGATCAAGAGAGAGGGAAGGGGCAAAGGATAATGACAGTGACCTTTAAAAGTCTGTACCCTTGCTTAGCCAGTAACTTAGAGTAAGTATAGCTGGAAAGACTTCAGCTGCGTTTCTTCATTCAGTTCAATTACCCCATCTCCCAAATTCATACCAACCCAGCTGCTAATAACTATGCCTTGAGCACCCAGGCAAAGGAAGGAAGCCAGCAGCTGAGGGACTCAAAGGTGCTGTTAGTAACCATCAGCCTAAGACAAAATTCTGTATCAGTCATATACAGGATTATTTGTGATTTTTCTCTCCGTAGAATAGAGCTCAATGTGAAGACTATCACTGGTTAAATTAACCATGAATTTGCTTGGATGCTTTTCCAGAAAGATCCATGGAGTTTTACAGAGACAACTTTCTACAAGTTGACATTCTGTTCTGAGCCTGCAATGGCAGTTAGCTCAGTTTGCTCTATTAAAATGTGTATGAAAGACCAGATATCGAAACATGCATGTAAGTACATACACACATTCTAGTTATGAGCACCTAGGGTCTTTCCCTCCCATCTACTCTTGCAGGGATACCCACATGTGTATTCACACACACACATATATAGAATGTGTATGTGTATATGTGCATACATAAATACACACACACACGCACACATACACACACACAAGGGTATACTAGGTCAGCTTCATCCAAATATTTGGAGCCTGGAGAAAGTTCTGCTAACAGAAAATGTGCATATGCATGTCACAAGATATGTATCAACCAACCAATCTGAGGTCAAACTGTTTGGAGGAGGGAACTATCAACAATCTTCAATAATCCAGACCCACAAGGCCATTATTTGAATATTTGCTCACATGGCGCTCTAAAACGAACTTGGAGAAATTGAACTAGAATCAGGTTCCACCCTGATGAACACCCAAACACCAAGACTAAATCTAGCCCTCGCATGAAAGTGACTCACACATGGCAGGCAGCATGAACACTAGGCTACAATGTGGATAAAGCACTGGTGCTTAATACAGATCAATATCTGGCCTCAGCTTCTCCAGAGCATAGTCTTGGCATTTCAGCCATCCACCTCCAGGTGAGAATTAGGCACACTGGGGGAGCAGGGAAGCACAGTCCACAGAACTCTTGGCTCCTTTCTGCTTCTCTGACCCACAGTTAGAAGGGTTGGCCAAATCAAGATAGAATCGGGATTTGAGGAAGCGGCGGTATGAATCCTTCTCCATAAGGTTGAAAATCTTCTTCTGGGCCTCATCAAAGCAGGTGATCGTAGGTTCTAGCATGTTCCGGCTTGTCTCCTCCCTGGTGCAAGAATCTAGGTTCACCTAAGGAGAAAAGGCCAAGGCTCCATTATACCTAGGACCTACGTTGGCTGCATGCTTTGTACTGAATACTAACAGGGCACCCTGCATACTCCAGGAATGAAAAAAAAAAAAGTTGGCTCTAACTTGGTATACGTGAAAGAATATGAGAGGTTCATTCTGCTTCAGGGTAAGCATGGAAAATTTGTTTTCTTTCTCTAAACTGAAGAAATTTATGTAAAAAAAAATACCTTAAAGGAGTTATTTAAATCATGTGGATAAAAGCACTTTTTTCTTAACTGGTTTATTTGAGGTTGTCAAGCTTATGACTCCACTGTTACATCTTTTCCTGTAACTCACAGGATCTAAAGATACGTGCCCCTGAATACCACTTCCAGACACCTTCATGAGAGACCCAGGGGGTTCACTGCCATGAAAACCTACCTCTTTTGTTGCCTGGACTGAGATGAATTCATTATAGATCTTTTTGGCCTTAGGACTTAGTTTAGAGGGTGATTTGATTTTCTTGTACTCTTCACAGCTGATCCAGAAGTCAATGTTCTCCTCACTATATTCAGATTTTAAGAAAGCTTTGAAAGCTGCCAACCCACCTGCAATACAGGAGAAAGAACCACACATGTTATCATACTCAATGACCTCTTGGACATGGCAGTTCAGATAAAGCTGTGGTACTTGGAAATAAAGCATAGGTTCAAGGACTCCCCAATTTTCTCCTCTTTGGAGGGTCACTTGGGGGAAGGCAACTCTAATCTCTGAATAGTATCTAGTAGATCCAGTTACACAAAATGATTCATGCTCAAAATCGAATGTGTTTTGTTTCTAAAACACCTAAGTGGCTATCAATTACCAAGGTAGGTTTGGGAAAGAGAAGCTGAGGTTGATTCTGTAAGAATATCTCAATATTCAGAAGCTTTTCCTCTCTGCCTTTTTCTACCTGATGATAGAGATGGTTCTCTGATGGTTCCTTTGTGAACTTTCCATTGTACTTCACAAAGCACTAGTGCATGGTAAAATGTTAAACAGACTGGATATAAGACCAAAACGTCATCTTGGGTTTGGAAATCACAATGAACCTTGTTCTTTCTGCAGTTCCTATGAGGCCAGCATAATATGAGATAACCTGCCTCCTCCACAGTGCCTTTAACCTCATCCCATGAGCGGGATAAAAAACCGTCAGACTTACATTCATGGTTAATCAGGTTTTCCAGTGATTCGGCCCATTTCTTGACTTCCTCTTGACTCACCCTAGAGACATTACAGAGAAAAAAAATAGTTTGAATTTATGATACAAAAAACTGGGGCAAGCAATCTAAGACTTAATAAAATGTAGAGATTTTATTTTTTATCATCATGAACAGCTCTATTATTGATTAGATCATGTTTTTTTTTTTTCAGTAAATATGTGGGAAAAAATCTCCAATGTAGTTATGATTTCCATGAACATGGGGGCCATCTTGATCCAAATCTGGCTTAACTAGGGGCATACTTTCCTTCTTTTCTTATACAACTCTCTAAACTCAGATAGTTAAAACTCAATGGGCTTTCATCCAGGCCATTTCTCTTACCTCTGGCAAACAACCACTTTGTCCTTCTTGCTGTGGGAGGAATTATGTTCACAGGAATCTGACTTCTGCAGCAGGAAACCCAACCGATGCTTCATATCTTTTGCACTGCACAGAAGAGGAAAGCAAGGGAATTAACGATGGTAACCACCTGTCTTAAGACACCTAGTGGTAGGCTTGAAGAATTCATTAGTAGCATATAGTGCAGAGACAGTTAATTTAGGGAATAGGAGATGAAGTTGGCATTAATTCTCAGGAAAGCAACACTTGTTTCTGCCAATGAGTTAATGCACAACCTTGAGATGAGAGTCATAACACTGGTTTACTTATCTATAATTGGAATTCTGACCCTTCAATCTGTCTTAGAAGCCCGTTCTGTACACATGCCATTTTGGTGCAACAATGAAACACTTGGTATCATCAATATAACCACACAAGAAGACATGACTGTTCTTTGAGTAATTTTTAGGAGTTAGAAAGCAGCAGTAACTGCAAAATTCGACACCTTTTTGCTGCACGCCCCCTTCTGGTGGTTGGTTGCTATTGTCATCTGTCTCCTTGCAGGCAGAGTAAGAAGCTCCTTTGGAAATTAAGGGTCTCTTTCTTTCCATCCAAATATGTGATGGAACAAGAAATATGTGTTATGGGGTAAATATGGAGTACATACTGAGGTGTGTAGCTTCAGAAATGGAGTGGTTAACGCAAATGCTCAGGGTGAAACCCACGTTCCTTTAGATTAGTTCTTCCAGACAATATAGTGCTGCTATTGCCTTCTTTTTTAATATTTATACACTGAAGAAGCCATCTAGAATCACTCCTGAAACTAGTGATTGCGATTGCGGGCAGAGTTTCTGGTGTATTGCCATTTCATAGGTGACCAGGCTATGTCAGTACTCCTCAGTAGCTCAAAAAGGAGGCCCAGAGATAAGCTTTTACCTCTTCTCTTACACTACCATGTTTTTGCTTGTATCTCTTACTATAAAAGCTACAAAATAGTTAAAAAGAGAAATGATTTTAAAAAGAAATGGATAGCTAAGTGTTCCTACTTGTAGGGGGGAAATAAAGGGTAAAAAGAAATTTTAGAATGGTTATTGATATACTAAAGGTTTATCTATGTCGGCTTCCCAAGAAAGTTTGAATTCCATTAGGTCCTTGGACTGCCCCCTAAATGGTATTTTCTCTTCTTCACATGACTATTTGCCTTTCTCTGCTTTCTCAACTGGTGACTGCACAGGGATTGGGAAATTCTCCTTAATGATAGCAAGATATATTCCTGAAGCCTAGAGTGGTTCTAAGGTGATGGCATGAGTGTATTGTGAGTCAATGTAAATAGAAATTATTCCGTACTACCATGTGCCTCCTCTGTTTGAGATCCCATGGCTATTGACTGCCCAGTGTAGGGTCATTTCCTAATGAGTTGAGAGTATGCACAGAAAGTATCCTTTTAACGTAATAAAACAGTACAAATAAAAACGAAAATCACTTCAGAAGTCACTGGAATGAGGAACTGGATGTGATCTTCACTCACACACCCCGGGCAGTGGGAAGTCCCTCCGGAAGCTCGGGCACTGCTGGAGAAAGTGCTGGACTAGATGATTGACGTTTCCCCTGTGAGGAGGGGAAGAACAGCTACCTACTGACTGTGAGCTTAACCTTCTCAATCAGTTGCTCAGTGCCTCAAGGGCAGACCTCTAGCACAATCTCCCATCTATGAATCACTAAATATTTACTGGAGCATAACTTTTCCCTGACACTTCTGCATTTTGCATGATTAATTTTATATGTGATTTAACTGAAGCGTGGATGGTCTTGCTCTATCCAGTTAGGAAATTAATGGTGAAGGTGAGAGGTATTTATCCCATCAGTACTCTCTACCAGAACCTCCTGCTTCATTACGGAGAATATATCAATACTGTCCTGCTTCTGAATGAAAGGCAAATGGCTTCAAAACACACAAAAGATTATGCTTCTTGGAATTAACTCCAAATTGAAATGTAAGGTGATTGTTCTTTGCAGGGAGACAAGAAAAGAGGTAGTACACTTGCAGATTGACTTTTTACCTTTAGCTGCAAGATTAAGTGATGTAATACGCTCTCATTTTGTATTTTACTTTCAACTGATGAATATCTAGCATTTTCTGAAATCATCTACTTACGCCTATTTAAAAAGACAGAAGAGTAGCTATATATTTTTAAGTCTTTGTTTTTATATTGACAAAACAATCTCTTTAGGATGAGCTCTTCTACAGAACCCTCAGATGACTTGTTATAATCAATACTCCTTAACTACCACTCACATAAGACACTTTAAGAATGAGAGATAAGAACAGAGAAAAAAAGAGACATGTAGCATAGAAACTATTTCATTGTGACATTTGTTTATGAGAATATAGAACGATACTGTAGCCCCAACAGAAAGCATTGTGGCTTTCTGATGATGTAGCACAAGTTCATTCCGAGGTGTCCTCCCCTAAATGAATTTCAGAGAGTCACAGTGCTTGCAATTATCCAGGTATGCTCACATAATGGAGGTGATCACAGATACAGCAAGTAGAGTCAACACCTCATATGATTCTTAATCAGCACTAGCTTAGTTAGAGGACTTGGCTAAAAGATCACAACAGTTTTCAAAACTGAGGTCACATGAAACAACACACTAATATCAGAATTTGGGAAGCACAGTTCTTAAGTCACAAATCAAGTTATTCTTGGAGAAAATCCAGGGAAATATTCTCCCCTGATCAGACTGCTACTCCAAAGAACCAGGTTAGTAAACACAACTAGCAAGTAACTGAGAAAGTCTGTCCAAAAGTTGAACGTAGTTAGTAGCTGAAAACAATCTTACCTCCTCAAGCAGGAAGCCGGCAGACCTGCAAGCCCTTTGCACATCTTGTCTAACAGCGTGGGATTCGCCGAGGAGGAAAGAAACGCAGCAGGAGGAGCTGTGGCCTCTGTTTTGCTCAAGCTTCGGTTTCACTCCTGCAAAGATGCTGCCAGAATCCTGAGCTTCTCCTTTCCAGGCCTGTAGGGGTCTCTTTTATAGCCCGGCCACGAGCGACGAGCCAATCAGATAACAGCTCTGCGGTACCAGCGCCTGTCTCCTCTGCCTCTCCAGCCCCTGGAAGGCAGGAGGAAGAAAGGACTTACGCATCAGCCATGCAAAATGGACAAGCTGGGAAAATCCTCTTCCAAAATAGACATACATGAAAAAAGTGACTCAATATCTCTACAAATGTCTGTGATTTTTAACTTCTAGAGACGGGAAAAATAAAAGTCTACAGTGTTGGAAAATATGGGAGTTTATTCTTTTGTCTGTAAAAACAGTATCAGGGACAACATTGCCTCCGGAACGGAAAGGTGCCAGTAGGAATTCTAAGGCACACTTTGGGGGTTGAATCTCAACACACTTTCTCTTTTGGATGAGAAACATCACATTGTATGTGACCCAATATTTGACCTGCTCGATTTCCAAAAGGCAGGTGGGAGGATCATCGTCTCCGAGAGATGATTTCTCCATTGCAAGACACACGGAGGTGTGGGGAGAAATAGCTAAATGGCAGACAGGAATATGCCTGGCAGCATAGAAAAGCTGGCCCAGGAGAAATAGATTTGCTGCATCTGTCATCAAACTGACTGTAGAATACTTTGCTCCAATTCTTATTAAGAACAGAATTCAGCCCAGCACTGACAATTTCTCCTGTACATGCTTGCCTCCTGCAAAAAGCCTCAAATAGCAGCCTGAGGTCCAGGGCAGCAAGGAGATGAATAAATATAGATACTGATTCTTGTTAGCAACTGTGTTCATGTCTTATGTAATTCTAAGCTTCTAAATTGGTATTTCAAGAGGAAGAAAGGGAGGGAGAGAAGGAAAGACAGAGAAAGAGAAATGCTCCAGAGAGCAGGCAGGCAGAAAAATATGGTTTGCTTTGCCTATTACCTGGCTTCAGGGTTAGCATAAGAATATTCTGCCCTGCAGGTACTTCTGAACACCGAGACTATTAGTATCTTTTGCATGTAATATCATAGACTGAATATTTTAAAGAATCATGCAGGTGTTTCGTATCTTACAATCATAGCTCATGTACACTAGAACTGCAGAGAGTGCTTCTTTGTATCTGAAAGCTGTGAGTACAAGGGGGAAATTAAATACCAAGTCTGACCCAGACAGCTCTCATTTTGAAAGCAGGTAGATTTCTGACCGCAAGCTACAGGGAGCTGTGCTTTACTTAGAAGAAACAGAGATATCAAGTAGTTCAGGTGGGAAAGATGAAAAATAGATGGGAGCCAGTAGAATGCAAAGAGAGTGCGAAGACAGAATGCAAAATGGAAAAGAGCTGTACCTGTATGTCCCCCTTCCCCCATTCATGCCCTTGAAAATCTCAAGCTGCCTCCACTCCCCCTCCCCAGCTAGCAAAGAGATGGTAAACAAACATAAAAAGGCTAAGGACTATAATCTTCAGAGGATGCATTTAGATGGTAGGAAAAAGCTTTGGCCTTCATGCAGGAAGACAAGAGAACATTTATTAGATTAGCTACTGGACAACTTTTCCTTGAGTTATAACACAAAACAAATGAAAGTTGGCAGCCATTCGTGGTGATAATGTGGAAAAAACTGCAGTGTCACATGAATTAAGAGAGCTCGTAAGACCTAGAAAGATGGACCCAGGGATATGAGTCAGGCAAAATTAGCATCAGACAGGAGAGACTAATTAAAAGGGAGAAACGGTTACTCAAAGATGGATCAGGGCTTCTCTGCTTACCTGGGTGCCCAGATGATTTGATTTTCGGACAATGAGTGAGGATCCGAAACAATTTACTGATGTCTGAGAATTCACAGTAAGAATCTTGTGTCTTGTTCCTAGTACAAGAGAAGCTCATTTGTCACAAGTTAAATATAAATTGTTGCAATAGATGAGCTGAATAGGATTTTTAAAGCAATCAGATCTAACCCCTCCATTTTACCAAGGAGAAAATAGAGAAGCAGAGGGGAAATGATTTGCCACAGCTCCTTACTAAGAGAGACAGGTCCAGACTGGCTTCCTGGTCCCAGGTCATGTGGATTTTCTACAGGACTCTCCTATCACTCAACAGTCTTGTCAAACGAGATACACTGTGTAAACAGAGATATTTCTAAATTGCAGAGTGCTAAGCAAATCATTTTTTATTATTAGATTATGCACAGGAGGTAACAGAGCCCCCAGTGTTAACTTCATATATTTCACACAAAGAGGCCCCGATTTTCCCCTCCCTCATGGAAGCAGCAGCTGCTACAGCCCTCATTACATTAACCATTACTTTATTCTAGCATTTCTTATTCATTTATTCCTTTGACTATGACTTCTCATGTTCTCAGGAGTTCTAATACTTTTAAAGAGTGTTCAAAAGCATCTCATAAATTAATATTTTTTTTTTCACGATGGGCCTTGCTGATTGTGTTTGAGGAGGCGGGGACTGGTACATCGTATTACCTTGACAACATTCCCCCTCCTTTCTCTGATATGCACAAAACATTTAATTCTATTATTCTATGATTTGTCATCCTGGATGATTCTTACAGTATGGGGGAACACAGCTCTCAAAAATCTCTTTTGTATTTATTGATTCGTTTGAGACATATCTTTTAGGTAGCTACTCTACACCAGGAACTCTTTGGGAAACTGTATACATGGTAAACAAGCAGGCAAGTCTCCACTTAGTGGAGTTTTTATCCCAGTGGAAGGAGTCAGAAAATAAACAAGTGAGATAATTGTAGATTTTGATCTATCCCATGAAGAAAATAGGCAGGTGATATGAAAAGAATAACCGGATGAGGAAGGACTTATCTTGCCAAGATGGTCAGCAAAGAGCTCTATGAAGAGGTGGTATCCAAAATGAAATCTGATGGGTGAGAAAAAAACCTAGAAAATTGTCTTCCAGATGGAATTAAGAGCATGTGAAAATGTTTCTTTATCTAAATTGGGCAAGAACAAAAGACAAATCAGCATAGCTAGAGAATTGAGAACAAGGAGAGAGTAGCATGAAATTGAAGTGCCCAGGTAGAAGCTACACTCTGCTAGAGGACTGGTGAAGAGATTGGGCCTTATCAGAACACAATGCAAACCCCCTAAAGGGACAGAGCTGCTAGTTCTGACTATTGTGGAAATAGGCATTTAGCCACATGAGCAGAAGCATGGAAGCAGGGAAACCAGTTAGCAGAGTTAGCAGTCTGAATCCTGGCTCATCAGTTTCTACCTGGCAAAGTGGAGAATTGCTTCCCAAATTTTTATGACATTATAGAGCAGACATTCTGTTGGACTTGGGTGAACTAAATGGAAATTACAAGTGGTTTGTGCTTTTCAGGAACCCATACTCTGATGGAGAAAATTCTTCAATAAGCAGAAAACAGTAGAATGAGTGTCATCCTTATGAACTTGTATATATAAAATTCCAGAAAAGCACAGAGAATGGAGAGTAAGCAATAGCTTTGGAGTGGAGAGTGGTTTTCATAAAGGAGATCTTAAAGAATTAATAGAGACTGGAGATGTAGGTGTTGTACACAGAAGAGAAACATTACAAGAGAGAACATAATAATAATTGCTAATTTTATTGGGTACTAATTGTGCATGGCATTGTTTTAAGCACTTTATATCAATTAGTTCCATCTTGGGACTCAGGAAACAATACCCCAGAATATGGCATTTGGGTATGCTGATTTAAATTGAAAGCATTTGGGGGTGGGGGTGCAGCATAGTCAGTAGCAGTTTTGGATACCCACATATCATATCCAAGTCCTGGCTCCACTTCTTCATTCCAGCTTCCTGCTAATGTACACACTCTGGGAGGCAGCAGCTGATGGCTCAAGTACTTGGGTCCCCGCCACTCACATGGGAGACCTGCACTGAGTTCCAGGCTCCTGGCTTCAGCTTGCTCAGTCCTGGCTGTGGCCGGCATTTGGAGAGTGAACCAACATATTGGAGATCTCTGCCTCTCTGTCTTTCGGATAAAATAAATAAAATATTTTTTTAAAAAAGATGAAAACATTGGAAATTTCTTTCTCCTGTTTGAAAATCCTTAATGTGTTGTACTATGTGAATTAACAGTAAAACTAGCATTCAAACAGTACTTTATACTTTGTGTGTCTGTATGGGTGCAAACTGTTGAAATCTTTACTTAGTATATACTAAGTTGATCTTCTGTATATAAAGATAATTAAAAATGAATCTTAATGAAGAATGGGATGGAAGAGGGAGTAGGAGATGGGATGGTTTGTGGGTGGGAGGGTGGTTATGGGGGAAAAACTGCTATAATCCAAAAGTTGTACTTTTGGAAATTATGTTTATTAAATAGGGGTTTAAAAAAAGAAAATAGGTTTAGAAAAAATCCCATCATTGGCAAAACACAACTCACTGAGAGGCCTCATTCAGGCCACCTCCAATTCCTCAGAGGGCTGCTACCTGAGAGAGCTTATTTGCTATTTTGATTAGACAACCTCTGCTTACCATGGATTTCCTCCCCTGCCTGTAGCCACCTCCTCTCTCAAGACTGAGACCCTCATTTCTTTCTTGTTCAGGACACTCCAGAAAGCTCCATTTGTCTGACCCTTCTTTAAGTCCTTTATTTTGTGTGGCTCCCGTGTGTTTGCATGCAGTGAATCTGTATGCCTTTTTCTCCTGTTAATCTCTCTACCATAAGTTTATTCTATAGACTCAAATTATCAAAGCTTCAGAGAGCAAAGAGAAAGTCTAGTTCCCCTACACCATCCTGGGAGAATGTCCTACAGTGGTTGTCACTTTACAGGTGAGACATGGATGACTCAAGATACTCTCCAGAGGAGTGATAGGTTGGCAACTCAGGCTGTCTGACTCCAAGGTCTCTGTCATTAAAACCTATGCTATTAGATCCATAAAGCATGAAAGAAAGTGCAGAGATCATTGAGGTATTTGGCATGATAACAGCTTTAGAGGAGAAAGAGAAATAAATGAGGTTACTTTGGTTCTCTGAAGTTAAGGGAAGTTCTTATCCCATGGAAA